ATTGGGAGGACCAAAGATAATGACTTCTGTTTATCAGCTGTTTTACTGGAGATTAGTTATTTGACATCCAAGTTTTAATATCTTCAAGACAGTCCAGGAGAGACTGTTACAGAGTTCAGTGGATTTTATGGGAGGTTACAATGTGGATCATCTGCATATAAATTGAAAAGATGATATTATACTTTCTAATGATGTCACCAAGGGGAAGAAGTATAGGCAGAAAATGCACTGGCCCAAAATGGACCCCTGAGGGGACCCGGCAGGAGACAAGGAGCAGTGGATGAAGAAAACTGATCGATAAGACACAGAGAATGCTCTGTGTCTTAAGATAAGAAGCTGAACCAGTGTAGTGCTGTCCCCTTAATGCCGTACCCCACTCTTCTAGGCGGCGAAGAAGAATGTTCTGATCCACAGTGTCGAGGCAGCCACTAAGATCCAACAAAATTAGGACTGCATTTTCACCTGAATCTAAAGTCTGCAACAATCATTGGTCACTTTAAGTAAAAGCTGTTTCTGTACTTTTTGAAGGGCTCTAAACCCCAGACTGAAAGGTTCCAGAATGTTTATGCATGTTTAAAAAAGGGGAGCAGCTGGAGACAAGAACAGCTTTTCGAGCACCTTAGAGATAAAAGGAAGGCTTAGAGATGGGCGAAATGTTTTGTAGGGAGGGGTTGGACAACCGCATGCTTAAAACATGCAGGAACTGTGCGGCAGGATAGGCAGGAGAGGTAGTATCCTTGAGCAAGATACTGAACCCCCGAATTGCTCCCGATGCCGTGCATCGGTGTGTGAATGTGTATGAATGCATTAGTTTCTGTTTGATGGGCTTTGCCATCACAGAGTGAATGTGTGTGAAAGGGTGAATGTGTAAAGTAAAGTGTAAAAAGTGCTGGAAGACTAGAAAGGCGCTATACAAGTACAGGTCCATTTACCATTACCACACTGTCTGATAGGATCAGATATATTGGGGGAATGTGTATAAATTAAAGAAAAAAAAAATACTGACATTTTACTCTGTGTAAACATATATTCATATCAATGAAGATCTGCAACAACAACGACACACATATACAATCAGACACAGTGGAATGTGTGTTCTTCATACAGACGTTCTCACTGAGTGAAATCACTGGAAATATTCTACATTACACATTTCCCCCATACGCAGCTGACATATGACATACTGTATGCTGACAGTGTGTGGGTTTGACTGTTGGTTTGTGATGAGTTTGTAATGAGTTTGTAATGAAGGTTCATTTGATGATGCTGTGTTACATATTCAACACGTGGCACCGTAACTATTGCTTTATTGTATTCATTTATTTGGGGGTTTATTATAAAGGGTAGGAATTACTCTAATTTGTCAATTTTCACATTTCAAATTTTTCTTTATATCAGATTTATTTAATCTTAATTGGCGTAATGACATTTACAGTATACACACATTGCTGTTGTTGTTAGGACTGTTTTTAATGATATATGCAAATTATCTAGTGTTTTCTACAATGTGTGTGTTTTTTTATTCAATAACAAAACCTGAATGTGAACAGTAATAATGCCCCACATACACAATAATTGACTGTAAAATCTCACAGTTGTCTTGGGAAAATCTGAAGAATCTTACCTCATATATATTTTTTTATTTACTTAATGTTTGGCTGGTGTTATTGATTTTAATACTTATGTGTGACACTCACAGACAGACATAAAGGGTAACTATAAGAAATACAAATGATGAAACATGAAGGTTTCCACTCAACAGCAACAAAATGAAAATAGGTAATTTATTTATACACAGGTATGTATATGTATGCAATTATCAGTATGTAATTATCATGTAAGGATGTTAGTAACACAATACTGTATACTGTTAACATACGCTAATGCTAAAAATGTATGTAGATTTGCTTCCTAGTTAGATAGTGTTAATGTTTAAGAACCTTAAGATGCAACTATATGTCTATTTTATGCTTTAACAATCTTCAACATCTGGTTGTCTTTTCAATGTAGATTAGCCTAGCATATAGCATATCTAAGTACAGGAAAGAAGAAAGTTGACTGAGGTTCGGACCGACGGGTCAATTGGTTAAGGAACTCCCCAGCTATACATTTTTGGTTCTAAAAATGTTCAAAGAATGGTACATGCAATTTTTTACTAATGTTTTCAGGGAAAAGTTTTTCTTTGGTTCCTAGAATGTTCTTAAAGGTAGGGTAACATTCTCTAAAAAATGTTTGGTGATAACTTAAAATGTGTAGTAATAATATTGCTAGAACATTATGCCCTGACATTCTTAAACAGTTACCATGCAATGTTCTATGTTACTAGTAATGTTTTCAGCGGAAGGTTTTAATTTATTTTTATTTCCCACAACGTACTTCTTCAAGGTAGTGTAAGGTTCTAAACATTGTAGAAATGTTTGGTGATAACATTGTTTGAACGTGATTCCCCAACAATCCTAACAATGTTCAGAGAATGTTTTAGAGTAGGATAACATGCTCTAAAAACATGATACAAATGTTTTATGGTAACATTTTTCAAAAGCTAATTAAAGTTGTAAGAAATTTCAACTAACATTCCCTACTAGCTGGGCCATTTGTGCCATCAGTTGGACTTTTTAGCAGTAGTGTAATATATGCAGAGGTTACGGGTCAGTGTACTTCACAGCCAGCAGATTTTCATTTTGAAATAAGAAAACCAAAATCGAGAATGTCCCGTTTTCGGTTTTTTGGTTTTAAAATAGAATAGAATAAAACTGAAAATTACAAAAAAAAATGTAAAAACCTGACCCGTTTTCTTCCCCATATTGATATATGATAGTCTGGGGAAAAAAAATGTCTCATTTCAAAACGAAAATCTGTTGGCTGCAAAGTACACGGACTGTTACGGAGGCTGTACTGTCCATAACCACAACTGATTGATGCCCAACTGATATGTGTGTGAGTGTATTTTTGTATTTTATTTTATCTCTAACATGCCTTAGCAGCTCTACACAGGGTGACTCACTGAGGGCACTATGAGTCTTGTTTTCATGTTGTTGTTTGCCTGTTATTGTTGAAGATTTTAAAGTCAACACTAATATACCATGATGCAATGCTTCACTCCTCTGTGTTTCCAGATGTACTACTAAAGCCTTGTTTATGTAGGAAGAGTGAATGAGGGAGTGCTTTCTGTTCTCATCTCATCATCATCTCCCTCTTCTACTTCTGAAATATCTTCTCCTTCCTGACTCATCTCTGATTTGACTTCACTCAGCACTCTACTCCATCACCTCCGTCACTCTCGTTTTCTCTCATCCTCCGCCTCTGGTTTACGGGGCCGTAAAGCCGACAAAAGCCCCGCACACTTTCACCTCCTCCCCCTCCACGTTTCTCATGAGGAGGAAGCTGCTGCTGTTCAAAGCCGGCACGTATCACTCGCTCTCTCTGCTCAGGAGTCAGTAGCATTTGAATAAAATTTGGGAAATGATGGGTGTGCACTGTGCAGTGAAGTTTGAGTTTCCACTCACAAGGATGACCTTCACGTAAGACGGTAACAAACAGCTTTATGTCTAGAAGACTTAAATGTTAACCAATGAATCTCCTGTTAATCGCTTATAGCTGCAGACCACCATATCTAACAGCCCAGAGGAGCTCATGTGTAAACTGACTTTTCTTTTCACACACTCAATACAGAGAGATGGTCAAAACACAGATATCAGTACGTTATGAAAGAAATAAACACATGTGGTTTTAGTCATGTGAAATCCTGTTAAGTTTACCCGTCCAGACTTCCAATCAAATCAGTCTTTGGTTCTTTGATTAAACTGTTCAAAACTCAGAGTAATGTGTCCTGTGATGTGGGGAGGATTTGCTGCCTTAAAAATTTAGAAATGTTGTCGAGGTATTGGTGGAAGAAGTACCCAGATCTTTAGTAGAAGTAGAAGTTGCAATACCACAGTGCAATACTGCATTTAATATCGTATATCTAATCTAATATTTAAGTTATCGACAAAATATAGTTAACGTACCAGAGGTAAAAGTACTTGTTATGCACAATGGTCCATTTCATAATAATAAACATTATATTACTGTATTAATTCATTATTGATGCATTAATGCGTGCATCACTCTAATGTTGCAGTTGGTAAAGGTGGAGCTCATTTTAATGTTACTGCTGAGTAGATTAAACCATAATTATACTAATTAACAAATATAATATGATGGTTACTCTAGTAAATGGACTGAGTCAGAAACACCCATTAGTAATTCCAATCCACCATTTACAAACCTCACTTAACGCTACTTAAGGTTGTCATTGTAAATGAGAATTGGTTCTAAATGGACTTATCTGGTTAAAAAAGGTAAATAAATAAAATTAATGTAATTAATTAATTTATATTTTGTAT